GGTTTCTAATCTCTTATATCCTATTATTCTCAAAATTAACGTGGGACAAAATGTCATAGATATTTAAGCATCTACCAAAACTGAGATTCTTTTGTTTAACATCTTATAGACAGTAATATATAAATGTAATTGTCTTGGAAGATAAGAGAAGATTTAGTCACATATATACATGTTCAAGTATCTTACTCATCATAAGATTCTTATAACTACCCAACACCTCATAACAAAATATGCAGGCCATGGTACAATGTCCGAATAATTGGATTACTTGTGAATTTAAATCACATCCTTCAGTCCAGTTTAGTAAAAATAAAATTAATTACTTAATTTTAGTTGGTTAAGATTTTCTAAGACATTCTGCTCACAGATTTTATTACATGGAGGGAGAAAAATTCCATCCGATTTGCATTTTTGTGAAGCTGCGCTGGGCCCACCTGTAAAGTCAGTCGCTTTTAATATCAGCCACTGTTCAATGATAACACAAGCGATCTGATTGTTTTGACGTGGACTGCTTCAGGTGTCCAAATTTTGGCGTTGGAGAACTTGGTTGGACCCCTGCCGGTTTTGTCACCTGAAATTAAGGAGGTAATTCAGTGAAGTCGTGGATTGATGCTTTTGCAAACAGCTGTCTATTTATAAGTGAGTTGTGCACTTCTTTTTAACCCTTGGAAGTTGGAGGACGTCATAATTTGTCAATTTGAGGCATCCGGCTACACTTTTTCTTGATTTTTTTTTTTTTTTTAGGTGAACACTCCGGGAGGACATCGGTACAACCTCTCTTTTTGTGAGGGAAAGGGAGCACTCGGCAGTGGAGCCCTCTCTCAATGCAGGGGGTCCTGGCAGTGGGGCCCACCCTTGTGAGAGGGGTGGGCACCGGTGCCCTCCCTTTAGAGAGGGCACCGTAGAATTTGCTTTTTTTTTAGGGTTTTGTTGGATTGGGCTGCTTAGATTCTCGATCAAGTATATTTCATGTTTCGTCGCAATTACGTGAGTTAATGACTTTAAAATTTATTAAATCAGTATTACTATTATATATTAAAATAAAATAAAAAGAAAGATCTCAATACTCTGACTTTGCGCGTGTTTCTTAAGCTTCAAGTGCCTTTCCCCAGCTTTTCTTTGCGAAGCTTGTGCCTTCTCTTTTCCAAAAGAGTGCAAAAAAAGAAAAAAGTAAAAGTTTACTCTTCGTTGTTTAACAAAAGAAAGAATTATTTTCTTATTAATTTGGTGAATGTATTAACTTTTCACATGATTCAAATCATCTCTCTTTTGTGGCTTAATCGTCGTCGAAATCATGAGTTATAAATAAATGATGGTTAGGCATGTGAGTGGTTTTATACATCCGATGTGGCTCATCCCTATTGGTTTGGTTCATATTTTGAGGCTCAAACAAATGAATGATTCTCAGAGAATGGGAAGGCAAGTCAACATTTCTCCTCTTTCAATTAATTAACAACATGCTCATATCAACTTTTAGGGCCGGGCTTGGTAATAAGAGGGAATGTTTGGAGCTAGAAATAACTTTGAGGGTTTCTTAAAATTTTATTGATTGAAATTTTTATAAATAATAAAATTTATTTTTATTTAAATTCATTTTTAAATCTATTTTATTTATTTATAATTTCTATATCCACTTGATTTTATAATCAAAATAACTAAATTAACTCTATCTAAATTTACTTTTACCAAACTTATTTTATTTATATTTAACTTTTCAAAATTTATTTCTCCCAAAATTTACTTAAATCACTCAAATTTGTAACCAAACCAGCTGCAAATATTAACTAAAAATAAATTATTATATTTATTTTGCATAGAAATGTGATTTATCATTGAATCTTTATTTCTTATATAGTACAATATGGTATTTATTTAGTCAAAAAAGGGAAAAAATATAAAATTTGTTGTCATTATTTATTATGATATAAACAGTGAAAACAATGGTGATATATGTATTTGTGAAATCAAGGTATATCCGAGATTAATTTTGACCTGTGTAATGACCCGAATTAGAAATTTTGTTAGTTCAGGGACTTAATTGTAGAAATTAATTTGTCGGGGGGTTGGAGTGAAAATCTCAGGACTGTTCTGTGATTAGCATGAAGTCCAGGGGCCGATCTGCAAAATTTCCGGAAGTCTGACAGGAACTGCGTTCCAATGATTCCTCCGCTGGATTTGCAGGTTTTGGGCAATGATGTTGGCGTGTCTCGGCTTCCTTGCGTGCGTTTTTGAAGCCCTTACCGAACCCCTCAAACGATTTCAACTTTGGAGCAGCGATTGAGGAAAGATTTCAAGCCTTTGGCCTTCGTCCCGTCGCGTGTGGCCGCAGGGAAATTCTGGGATTTGGGAGCTGTTTATCGCCTTTCTGCTCCGATCGATCGTTGCTGGGAGGTCGCCGGGGTCGGTGCCGTGCTTTGGGCTGCTTGATCGGCCGAGGTAAGCCGTCTTGCCTACCTTGTTCATCGTTTTTCCCGGACGGCCGGGAGTTGCAGGCAACCGGGTTGAATACCCGGTTGCCGGGTGAGAGAGAGACGGACCCGGAAGGGTCCGGGTCCGTGTGTTGGGCTCAGCCCAGTGGGCTGGGCGGCCCGCGGGCTTGAACCGCGGGCCAAGCCCAAAAAAAAAAAAAAAAAAAAGAGTTTGGGCCGGCCCAGGCGGGCCGAGCCGCGCCGAGCCGAGCCGTTGGGCTGGCGCCGAGCCGAGCCGTTGGGCTGGCGGCTCAAGCCGAGCCGCGAGCTGCGGCTCGAGCCGAAAAAAAAAAAAAAAAAAAAAAAAAGGAGGGGTTTTGACTGAACCGGCCAGAGGGTTGACCGGCCGGTTCAGTGGCCAAATCAACTTGGAATTTGGTTTTTTGACTGGTTCTGGATTCGGGGGGATGAAACCTATCAAACCAAGTGGGTTCGGGAAATTTTGGGCAACCGGTTCGAGGTGAATCAACCTCGTTTTGCGTGCCAATGATCAGGGTTTGAGTTCTTGGACGGTTCATATTGGCTCCTAAGGTTTTTGGGGCCTCTGAATCCATTTTCGAGGGTTTCGTGCCCGTTTGAGTTGAGCTTGAGGTAGTTTTAGGCCAGCTAGGCCAGGTTGGGGGTCTTTAGAGGCTGGTTCGCTGTGTTTGGCAGACTATGGAGAGTAGTTCTGTTTGGATTGAGGGTTTTGAGCTGGTTTATTGTGTGTTGAGAGTCACGTAGATTTCGGTGGCCAGTCTCGATATCTCGAGATGCGTGCCAGAGTGTCGATTTTGGTTTTGAGCCGGTTTGAGGCTACGGGGCCTGTTTCTTGTACCGAGTTTGAGGTGGGTTATATTTCTGTGTGGTTTTGTTTTTCAGATACGTCTGAGGAGGTACACCCAGATCGGCGAGACGGGTGAGGGTGATCAGGACTTCGTTCTTGACTCGATTTTTGTACTGTGAGTGACGATACCTTTTCTATGCTTGTGTTTCCATACTGTTTTATTGGCATGTTGATTATGTGACTTCTTAACTGTATCTGGACTATGTATGTGTCCTTGTGTACTATCAGTGAGCTGTATTGATATGTTGTTATGAGATTTGGAATATGAATCGTATGTGCTTATGTATACCTGCTTGTGATCGATGTGTGAGGATGGTATCACATGATGTGATTTGGACAGAAGGAGCTCGGCTGGACATACGGTGACCCGTAGTGTCCAGTGGTGAGTCGGCCTGAGTCCTTGTTGAGGCAGCAGGGGCTGCGAGTATGATGTGCACATTGATGACGTGTCTGGGATGGCAGGCTCAGCCGACGGACGGTGGGCCGTAGTGTACGGGGAGTGCCTTGGTTTCCGTGTTGGAACAACTTTTGGGATACCGAGGACTCGCCCGGCATGCGGTGTGCTGCCGTAGCGTGCGGGGAGTATTCTGGCCCAGTGGATGGGATGTGATGGGTTGGTTACATTGATACTTTGCATATTTATTTACAATTACTGCTCACGGGGATTACTTGTGTATATGTGATATTTGTTTGAGCCACGTTGCATACTCTAGCTTGTATAGTCTAGGTATCGTCTGTACTCACTAAGTCTCGCGACTTACAGTTTTAAATTTTCCAGATCTGACTTGCTGCTCCTGTCTCGGTTACCGCGCCAGAGTTGGAGTTAGGCAGTGGCAGCTTTATCGATGTATGTATGGGCATATTCCCTTTTGTATTAATTCCTTGTACTTTAGAGTAGCTCTTTTGAACTCTCAGACAGATCTTGGTATTCGTGTATGAGGACAGCGCACCGTAATTTATATGGTATTGAGTTGTTATATTGGTTGTTTCGAGGCTTACTAGGGCTAGTGGGCCCTAGTGCCGGTCACGTGCCTGGGTCGGGGCGTGACAACCTGAAATTAATCTTTTTAGATGGAGAGCGTGAAATGTTAAAACTCTCTCTCATAAGTGTATTTTTAACAAATTAGACTTATATTCTCGTAAAAATTGTTTAATATCTCGATCAACATTTAAATGGTAAATTTTATCAATAACTTATAAAAAAATTAAGATTTTATTTAATAAAATCAAAAATGATTCCCATACGGTATTTTGAAATTATGGTACTTGATTTTCAAGGAATGGAATTTGATATGCCCGTCTTAAGGAGGCCAATCGATTGTCATATTCCAACATAGAATTTGAAAAATTGGAGACATGGGTGGAATTAGACAAAATTAACTCGAAATTCTTTGGAAAGTTGTCAAATTCCACGCAAGTCTAATCTAAAGACCCCAAATAACTTCATCATCCCAAACACGCCGCAAGCAAAGAGACAAATTCCAAGTTTGTCACAATGATATTTCATATTTGACTTGAACAAGAAAAGTAAAACTACATGGGACCAATTACATTTAATTACCTAAAATAACCGCGTTTTGCATGTGACCAAATTTTATTTACACTCCATGAGAATAAACAGAGAAAAATATATAAATATAAAAAAAACTAATTTTTTTTTACAAGACCCAACTAAAAATTAAAAAGAAAAGTAAAAATACAAAACCCTAATGAAATCCCCTTGAAATTCCGGATTGATAGAGCTCCAACTTACTCCTGGCATCTTGAAGCAAAGGCTCAACTTTGTCATCTTGCATGAAATGAGCCTGCTTTGAAGCCCACTCCAGAACTGTCAAAACCTTGGCTTCAGCTAGCTCTTCACTGTCTGGCACATTCTTGGCAATGTAACACAGAAGAATCAAAGCAGGCTTCTGCACAATCTGCTCACCAAAGTAAGCAAGCTGAATCAGATGCTTAGCTCCCCCAGCACTGATTATAGCCTTGGAGTGATCAAGACGAAGATAGTTCTCGATGCAAGCAAACTTTCCGAGCGCAACGCAAGCCTCCACCGAGACCTCTGCTTCCCTGTCGTCTAAAAGCCTCACCAGAGGGCTTATCATCCTTGTCTCTGTGGCCCGGAAAGTCCGAGCGAGGTTTCCGACCGATCTAATGCACGGAATCAGAAGTTCTGAATCAGCCTTGTCGATGATTATGTGTAATTGGTCCACGACAGCCTTGCAGGCCGGGGAATTGGGCTTGAACGCTGATCTTCTTAAATCCGTGTCCTCCTCTGCCACAGCAGTGATTTCCATTAATGCCATGGCTGAATTGTATCGAACTTGCTCGGGTCCCTTTTCTAGTAGAACTGCGAAGCACAGAGGGCTCGAGACTCAGTGATGCTCCGGCAAATGGGCGAGTTTCCCTTGGCGAGGTGCCAAAGGCCCTGGCAGCCATTGCCTTCATGCAGGCCTTGGTCTCAGGGTCTTCGAGCTCCCTCCCCTTGATCCCAGTCCCGTGGGACGAGTAAAGATGGTATGAGCTGTTACTTACGCTATTCGTCTTGGCATGATGGGCCAATTCGGTAGTTTGGTTCCCCCCATTGCTCTGCTTCAATTTGGACTGCGCGTTCATCGCCATTGTGCTGGTCACCACGCTATGCATCTGGCTACCTTGCTCATTATTCCGTGAGAAGGGACGGGGGATTGGGGGCAAATTCTGGGAATCGTCGTCCTCGTTCTCATTCGATGTACAGGCATTGGAATTGTTGCTTGCCACCACAACCGCGTGGAGGGATTTACTAGGAATGGCATATTTGCTGTGTTCTTGAACCGTCCCAAAGGCAAGATGGCCCACAAGCAGGCGGATCACGTTGTGCTGTGCAAAGAGATCTTGGCATTTTGGGTAATGGGAAACAAGCTCTGACACGGCCCAGGCTACCACGGCCTGAACCTTCATGGGACCTTCTTTTAGCATTTTTGCAAACACCTGGCAGACGCCGGCGTCAAGCATGCATTCTACGCTCTCTGGGTCGCGACACAGAAAACCAATTGCCCTCGCGGCGTTCTCTTGGCCTTCTAATTTTCCTTCCTTGACTAATTTCAGCAGAGGAGCCACTCCGCCTTCCTCGATTATGAGCTTTCCGTACCGATCATTGTCTCGGGCGAGAGAAAACCAGAGAAGCAGCAGCGTCAGATCGATCATCCAGAGAACCTGCATTAGTGGTGGCACTTGGTGATATTTCATGATTAATGCTGAACTGGTGTTCATATTCAAAATTAATAACCAGGTCGGAATTGTTTTTGAAAACAGTTCTGTAGTTCTGGAAAGAAAAACCCATTCGACCAGTTGTTGTTTAGAAAGAGTTTTCAGAAAACTGGCCCAGTTCTAGAATTATGTTGTTTCATGATTCTCGGAAACAAAAACATAAATTTATTTAAAGATTTTGGGCGTCTTCTGTTTTCGAAAAAAGAGAAATAAAAAAAGAACTCCGAAACCATGAATTCATGCTGATAGATTCCATTCAAAATGACCAGTTTGGATTTGTTTCTGAAAACAATTTCCTTTGGCAAACAGAAAACCATTTAGCAAGTTGTTTCTAGAAACCGTTTCAGTTTATTTGATATTTATTTGAGAGCGATATAAATTTGAGGGTTTTCAGTGTTTTCAGTTTCTAAAAACAGACAAAACGAACCCTGAAAACAGAAAACCACTAACCCGTATAAAGAATCGCGATCTGTTCCCAAATGAGGCAGAGGATGGGCTCATTGGCCGCGATGGGAGGGAGCCCGAGGTACCCGCCGTCGCCGCCGCGGTCGTCGGCCGGCACCGAGACTCGAAGCAACCACGACACGTCGCCGACGGAGTTCTCCACCTGTGTCCCCATCTTGCGGAAGGCCGCCGTGGGGTTGAGAGTGAAAACTCGCTTCACGACGCCATGTGCTCTGCATTTTTGGACCAGAACGAGAGCTCTCTCCAGAACTTTCTCTGTTTCCTCGATTATTCGCTTCGTAGGCCGCTCGTAAAGGTCGTTACTGGCCCTCGCTGCTTGCCGGAGGAGGCCGGCAAGCTTCTCAGTTTTCATCTTCAGTTCCAAGCACTCGCTCTTGGACGAACTCGCCTCGTCCGCTGCTTTAACGACTTGGTCGGCAAGTTGAATCGGCCTTGCCAGGATCTGCTTCACTTTATCCGCCATCGCCGCCGGGACCGCTCAAATCGCCGGCGACTGTAGAATGTCGTTGTAAATCAGATGAAACCCAGTCGATACTAAAGAAGATGGGTGGTGGGAGTTTCGACGTACTACGAAACTGAAGGATTGATAGATCGATTGGCAATAATCTGAAACTTCTCTGGTAATTTTTCCAGTCAAAAACCAGCAACCGGGGTGTTCTCCGGTGAAATCAGGTGAAACCCAGTTGAGATCAGAGAAAATTAGTGGCGGCTGTTCCTGGGTACGACGGAACTGAAAGGATTAACGGATTGGTTGGCAATGATTTGGAACTTTTCCGCTTAAATCAGATCAAACCCAATTGAAAATCACAAAATTGAATAGTTGCAGAGAGGGCGAGCTTCCGATTGAAGCCAAGGGAGGGATTAGGTGATTGGGGAAGAGAGAGTTGGGTTAGGAGGGTTTACACTAGACACCGAATTTGAGTCTGAGAATGGCATAGAGATTGGATATGGCTATTGGTTGGGTAGATGACTAGTGGGTTTTCCTGGTCTTTGATAGGCGACGGGGTTTACAAGGTCATTACGCGTTTTTTATTTATTTATGTCCTACTTTCTTGCTTGACTGGTAAATACCTAATAATGGCTATTAAACACTTGAAAAAATTGCATCCAATACCGGGAATATCAAGGATAGGACAGGGACAATTCGCACTGACTGGGATCTTGTCCGTTACTGGTTTAAAAATTAGGGCCTTTTTGTTTTTTTAAAACAGGAATATAAGGGAAAAAATATCAATTTTAGAAATTTCCAAAAATTATTTTCGATGGAAAGTGAAATCGATAGTGCAATAGAGTTTTTAACTTATACTATTTTCTGTTTCTAAAATCATTTGAGATTCTGAAAATGGAAACAATTCCTTTTCCTTTTCTTTTTTCATTTGGGTAATTGGAATTGTTCTCTTTACTTATTGTTTAAACGGAGGAAACTTCTATAGTAATAAAGTTAATTTTGAGAAGACAGGCCTTGTAGGGCCCAAAAAAAAAAAAATTCTTTTATTTTGTATATAATTTTTTTAGTCTTGTTACATAATTGAAATTTACTCTCTTACCTTATCAAAATGAAATTTTTTTCTTAAGTTACAATGTTAATTCAGTCAAAATAATTGATCATCATATTTCAAATTGAAAAAAAGAAAAGGAAAAAAAAAAATCGAAGGAACCACATTTGGCCACATCTCGACCCGGCATCCATTAGAAATTTTGCATAATAATTTGCGGTATTTCTTCTTCATTCATCCAGCCCCCTTTCATGTCCCATCCCATCCCATCCATTTGTGCCACCTCACTGTTCATCTGAGATTTCTTCCCAAGGTTAACAAGTGGGATCAACTTGCTCTCTCTGTTTCCAATTCTATTGGGTGAAAACTAAATTTTCTTTCTTCAAATCTTTTCTCCCATCATTTTGTGCAGTTAAAATCTTTTCTCCATCACTTTCTAACCCTATAACTGTGACACACTTACCCTATGCCACCCAATTTTGTTTTGTTTTGTTTTGTTTTTGTTCTTTGTCGCCATCTTTGCCTAACTTTGTTGGAATGGCCATAGCTGCCACTTGCTAGGTAGCTTCAAAGGTGAATATTTGCTTCTGCCACTGTTAATATCCAATCAAGATGACAATACGTATGAGATGCAACTAGTTCACTTCCCCTTCCTCCACACCTATTCCCCACCCCCAACCCCCCCCCCCCCCCCCAACAAAAAAAATCCTCGAAATATCACATCTTTTCACTTATTCTTAATGACATTTAATCTCTTTAACCCAATCTCTATTTGATATTAAATAATTAACAGTAATTAATTGCTTGTATGTCTCCTACACCTTTCCTTTTATCACACGAGGGTCAAAGTTAAAAAAAAAAATGAGTATACAGAACTTTCCTTTGAAGAAAAACTCTTATAACATCAGTTAATAACACCCTCTAAGCTAATTAGGAGGGATGGTCAAACCTTACTCGCTCTTACACCTTTTTAATTCTTATATATATATATATATATATATATGAAAAATAATTAATTGGCACTAATTTTAGTGTAAAAAACATTTACACCAAATATTATGCCGTTGATTTAATTAAAATCAATAGATAATATTAATTAATATTTTAGAAAAAAAATTAATATAGTAGAAAACAGTTATAATTAATTTCATTAATTGAATTTAACCAAATTAATATTATGAAATTTGCCGTAAATGTTTTACACTTATACTACTATCAATTAATTATATATATATATATATTGCTTGTATAGTGGTATCAAAAAGTAAAAGATAATTTGTAAAATACACTTTAAAATTATCATTTTTTGCACTTTGTACTTTAGTAATGTAAAAGGTTAAAAAAATGTTAGAGTGCAAAGTGTAAAAAATAGTAATTATGAGATATATTTTACGAATCAATCAATAGTAAATATACAAAACACAAAATATGTCATTTAACAGGTGGAGATAGGCTTAGTATTCTAATAAAAAGGTTTTAGGAGTTTTCTCGAGGGGTTTAATGTCATTTATGATTAAGATAAATAAACAAAACAATACCTTGTTTAGCAGTAGGAATTGGGTTCAAATGTTGGAATAGGTGGCAGGGGGACATGGCACGTGCTGTTTTGGTCCAGGTGTCAGTATGATGAGGTGGCAGCTTGGGAATATTAATTATTTTTTTAATTCAATTTTTTAATTGGTGGTTGGCACAGGGTCTTGGCTCTTGCCTTCTAAACTACGTTGCGTCAAGAATTTCAGACCTTTTGACCAGACAACGTTCTTTGACAGAAGTTTATTAATTATTTAATCCGATTTTTTAATACATTTAAAGTTAGGTGTGGATTTTTTAAATATTTGAAATTTGGCAGCTTTTGCTTTTGCTTTTGACACATAAGATGAATACTTATCCTCAAACCCTAACTCAGATGGCAAAATGGGATTTGATATATCTAATTTTGGAATTTTAGATTTGGTCTATTTAAGTTTTAAATATTGAAATAACACAAATTATAAAATTAGAACTTCTAATAGTTAATGACAGTATATCGCCCCGTGTTGCAAAGTTAGAAAAAGGTGTTATAATATAAATGGAAGCCCAATTCTATCCTGACAAAAAGTGGTCCGATTTAATTTAAAGCCAAGCCTAAGTGCGTGTACACACACCAAAGGTACGCATATATGCTTGAAGAATTCTTTTGATATAACAATTCACTAATAACCGAGCCTTAAAAATCTTTTTATATAATAAAAGATTTTTGTCTTTTCATTTCCGTAATTATGTAAATAATTTTTTAAAACAGTATTTTTCTCATAATTACGTAAATAATTTTTTAAGACAGTATTTTTTATACCTCAAGTCTAGTCTTCTATTATTATTTTTCTTAACACAAAATGTCCTGACAATTTATATTCTTGTATAATTATTAAAATATCATTAAAATAAAATTAATTGTGCTAAAATCATATTAAATAAATTTTATTATGTTATATTTATATTTTTTCAATAAATTTATGTTAAATTCATATCTTGTAACGGGTGATAATTCAAGAAATAAAAATTGGGCCTAACTTTTATATGCATCAAATTTAGTATCTTACATGCCAAAAATGATTTATGAAACTAATTGGACAATTTGATTGGATGGAAATGCCAAGTCCACGTAGAAAAATATTTGGTCCTTGTATGTCACGACCCGACCCCAAGCCCTTGACTGACACTGAGATCCACCGACCCTAATAAGTCTCACAGTACCGAACCGTCCCAAAGTACTCATCTCATCAGATAAATATAAACCAACATACATCATCCAGTATCAACTACCAATACCTATCTGAGTGTATAAAAGAGCTACTTTAAAGTATGAAAAAATAGTTATACAAAAAAGAATGCCTGCACATCAAACCGTTAATTGATCCATGCTCTGACTCTAGCACACCAACTGAGGCAAGAACTGCAAACCAAATTTAAAATATTTATAAATGTGAGTCATGAAACTCAATAAGTATAGATGATATTTAATCTATGCATGTTGGGATATGTATCACGCCACAAGTGTAAAATCATACATATATATATACAGTGAGTAATAACACATCAAAAACAGGTATAGGAGGTATCAACATAACCAATCCTCAAATCACAACACTGGTTCAGTATACTCTCCGCACGCTATAGTAACACACCGTTCGCCGGATGAGCCCCTTGTAACCTAGTCACATCACATCACCGAGCCTAAGGCACTCCCCACATGCTACGACCCACTGTTCATCAGCTGAGTCTACCATCCCAGACACATCATGATAGTGCACATCATATCCCCGTCTCATAATAGATTCAGGCCAACTTACCACTGGACACTACGAATCACTGTACTCTAACCAAGCTCTTTCCATCTCCAAATCACATCATATAAGGGACTCAAGCTGACTCACCACTAGACGCTACTAATCACCGTACTCCAGCTGAGCTCCTTCCATCCCCAAAGCACATCACATGACACCATCCTCATATATAAGTCAAAAACAGGTATATATACGCATATATAATTCACATATCAAAAATTAGTATCATCGTATCAACATAACTCACTGACGGTTCATAAACTACATAATACATATCCCGAGTGTAACATAAACCGAAATACATGTTACAAAACTACATAATCATCATGTCAGAAAACACAGTATGAAAAATACATGCATAGAAAGACTATCATTACTCACCGTACAAGACCTGAACCAAAAAAGAAGTTTCGATCACCCTTACCCAACTCACTGGTCTAAGTGCAGCTTCTTAAGCGTATCTGTAACTAAAACCACGCAAAACCATCACTATTACCAAACCAGCACAAAAAATGGGTTTGACAGCCTAAACCAAGGTCAAGTCCCATCTCGACACCTTGGCACGCATCCCAAAGCACCACTACCCCATCCCTAGGACTCACATGACTCACAACACTCATCAACCCTCCAACAATAATGAACCAGCCTCCTAAACCCTCGAACCATAGTGAATTGACCTCCAAAATCCTCGAACTGACCTAAATCAGTCTAAAATTATCCCAAACCAATCTGAACTGGCCACGAAACTCTCAAAATCAAATTCAGAATGCCTAAAAACCACTAGAACCGATTAAGAACTGCCCAAAATAAAGCTGAACGGCCACTTGAACTATTGAACTGGCTTGAACCAGGCCAGTTTGACCAAAAACACCCAATTTTCGGTCAAACCGAACCTCCTCAAACCCTCGGACCAACTCGGTCCATTGAACCGGCCAATTAAACACTGAACTATCTCTAGATCAGTTCGGTCAATAGAAACCCTAATTTTCCCTTGGATAGCCTGTCCTAGGCTAGGTTATTTAATTCCTATTTAATCCTCATTCTTGTTTGCCCTATCCCCTAGAATAACATATCCCAATTTCAATTAACGAGTCAACCCACTAATTTGATCAAACTGGGCCGAGTCAACTTACCAAGTTGACTCACCTAGACTTAGCCTACCCACTCAAATTGGGCCGATCCAACCCCACGGCCCAAGCC